ATACTCCATTCCAATAATATAAGAAATCAAATTCTTATGTCAGAGCATCCATTGTTCCTTTTTTTTTTCCCTTAAATTGTATTTTCATAATCGCCTTAAGCCAAGGTTATTTTGTATATTTAATATACTCCTATGTTAAAATAAAATAATACAAGATTGTATTTATGAAACCCTAATACTAGGTGTAAAAATTTATAACATTAAATTTATTTATATTGATGCTAAGCTTTAGTGGGATATATTAAAAATCGCTGATAAACTCTAGAATGATTTCTATTAATTGCTGATTGATGTAAAATAATAAAATTATTAATAAAATTTAATATTGTATACTTGCTAGCTAAAATCAAAAGGTAGATCGATTAAATTTCTCATTAATTTCCAATTTTATTTCTAAAAGAATTGAAAATTTAGTCTTTTGTTAATTATTCTAAATGAACCCATGCAATAATTTTAGATCAAACTAGTCATTTTAAAAAAAATCATAATACATCTGTTTTTCAAAACCTGAAATTAGAAGCCTAATTTTGCTTGTTATAATACCAAAAGTCAAAGCTATACCATAAATATATTATTTATTTCCTTGTTTCATTTCTCATTATCCAGAAATTTTAAGAAAATAATCTTATGCTTAATTTCTGTGTCTTATAAGCTAAGGTTCATAAAATAATAAATAAAATTATTGTGGCGCTGCCTTTTAAAAATAATAATTCAGATATATTAACTAATAAGAAAACTATAATAAAATTACGTTTGATTATGACAATAATGGAAATTTTAGTTTATACTTAGTGATTATTATGTAGTTTAAGTAATTTTTATATTGAACTAAAACTAAATCTGGTTATTTATCCTAGATTTCTATTCAAAAATTAAAGGAGAAATTTAGAATATCCTATTATTTATTTTAATTTAAGATGGCAGATTAGAATAAAAAAATAATCAATATGATGTATGAAGAATTAAATAAGGAATAAAATTTTATAGTTATAACATTCATATAAAATTCAAAAGGATTTGTAATTATGAATTCATATATTAATGAAGTTAAAAAGATTTGATTATATTTTATATATTTTATTTAAAGGCTAAGACCTCTGAAGTCGACCATCAAATATTAAAATTATATATATGCAAGCTTGCACTGAAATAATATCATAATGTATTAACCATAAATGCATAAAAAAAGAATATTATAACAAAGGTGTTTTCCAAAAAAAGAAATTTTGTTGTTGTGCTTTAATATCAAGAAAAGGCTTTTAGAAAGATACTTTAAATTTTCTCAGCAGATTGTGTAAAAGCTTTAAGTGTAAAATTTTAGAAACTCTTAAATTAATTATATAAGTATTCTCTATTTTAGTATTAATAGCTCAATTTTTAAATTACATTGATTATCCTGATAATTTTGAAGCATACTAAAACACTACAGATTAAGACCTTTTTCTATTTTGTTCATTTACACAGAGGCCAATATTAAATTTAAAGTATTCTAGAAAAAAAGAAACTCAATATTGGCCGCTTTTGTTGAATCTAAATAAAAAAAAGACTTAATTTTTAATGTTCTATGCCAAGTGCTTGATCTTTTTTAAAATTATGATTATATTTACTTTATTTATATACGGCATTTTAAAAAATTTTAATATATAGCAATATTTATCTAAGTCATATTACATTCAGAATAATCAAAAATCAAGTTTCAGAATTAAGAATCTATATTAATGATAATTATTATTTTAGTATTTTTTGCTTATTATATAATTGGAAATTAATTGTGATATTCACTTATTCATTATAATATCATTTATAGAATTTTTTGAATTTTTTTTCTTATTTAATCAAAAACCTTAAAATGGAAATACCATTTTTGAAATTCTTTCTGGAAAGTTCTAAAGTTTTATAATATGATAATTAAAGTTGGATGAATTTCAGACATCAGTTATAACTATAAATCTATTAAAATTAAAGTGATAAGGATGATAAAGATGCGCCTAATTATTCCAAATATGAGGTATACCTTTATTTCTATATGTTATAAAATCATTATTGTTAATCTCTAAAGATATATTATAACACTCTAAAGCTTCAAAATCTCTGTTTAATAAACTTAAAGTAACCCCTACTTATTATCAAATTTTAGTTAAACCTTTATTTGTATATGTATTAAAATCATTAGGGTTGATTTCTAATGATTTATTATAACACTCTAAAGCTTCCACATATCTATTTAAATAATGTAAAGTAACCCCTTGTAATTATTAACTATTAGTTTTACCTTTTTCTCTAAATGTTTAAGAATCATTAGAGTTTAACTCTAATGATTTATTATAACATTCTAAAGCTTATTCATATCTTTTGAAAAAATTTAAAGTAACCCCTTTTAATTATTAAACCATTAATTTTACCTTTATGTCTTAATGTTAAACAATCATTAGGATTGATCTCTAATGATTTATTATAACACTCTAAAGCTTCCTCATATCTGTTTAAACAATTTAAAGTAACCCCTTGTAATTATTAACAATTAGTTTTACCTTTTTCTCTAAATGTTTAAGAATGATTAGAGTTTATCTTTAATGATTTATTATAACAGTCTAAAGCTTCCTCATATCTGTTTAAACAATTTAAAGTAACCCCTTTTAATTATTAAACCATTAATTTTACCTTTATGTCTTAATGTTAAACAATCATTAGGATTGATCTCTAATGATTTATTATAACACTCTAAAGCTTCCTTATATCTGTTTAAACAATTTAAAGTAACCCCTTTTAATTATTAAACCATTAATTTTACCTTTATGTCTTAATGTTTCACAATCATTAGGATTGATCTCTAATGATTTATTATAACAGTCTAAAGCTTCCTCATATCTGTTTAAACAATTTAAAGTAACCCCTTTTAATTATTAAACCATTAATTTTACCTTTATGTCTTAATGTTAAACAATCATTAGGATTGATCTCTAATGATTTATTATAACAGTCTAAAGCTTCCTCATATCTGTTTAAACAATTTAAAGTAACCCCTTTTAATTATTAAACCATTAATTTTACCTTTATGTCTATATGTTATGAAATCAATATTGTTTATCTATAATGACTGATTATAACACTCTAAAGCTTCTTCATATCTTTTTAATTAATATAGAGAATCCCCTTATAACTATCAAATTGTTTTTATACCTTTATTCTAATATGTTTAAGAATCATTAGGGTTTATTTTTAATGATTTATTATAACATTCTAAAGCTTCTTCGTGTCTGGCTAATTTATCTAAAGAAATTCCTATAAATTTAAATAATTAGTATACCTTTAAACAAATATGTCTTGTAATCATTTTCGATTATCTATTATACTTTGTTATACTATTCTAATGCCTCCTCATATTTTTTTTCACTTAAAAAATGATATCCTTTATTTTATTTGTTTATTAAATACCTTAATTTTTGATTTTTTCTAAAATTATATCTTAAATAAGATTGATTTCATTTATAACATCTTATTCTTATATTCTTTCTGCCTTATTAACTTTTAACATCTTTTTTATTAATTCTATCTATTTTTCAGATAATTAATATGCTTCGTTGATTTTTGAATCCACCCAAAACTATAACTGTTATTCTGTTTTTAATTAGTCAATATCTTTAATCGTTTCTTGGTTAACTAAAGTATATCCTGCTAGAATTTCAAATAAAATAGCTCCCATGGACCAGATATCAGATGATTAGTCAAATTTATTAATCATCTATTATTTGACTCCGGAAGCCATTTATACAAAACCGAAATCTTGTAATTTGATAACAATGTTTTTATTTTCATTATAACAACACACAAAATTTTCCGATTTTAAGTCCTGATGAACATAATTTTGACTATGTAATTATATCATTCCTTAAAACATCTGATTGATTATATAATATTCTTACCTATTTGAATAAGTTCAGTTTATGATAAATTTCCAATTTTTAAAATTCTTGCCCTTCCATATATTTTTTAAAATTGCACTGTACCAATTCCATAACTATAAATGGCTCTAGATATGGTATTAATTCAAATTCATCAAATATTATATTTTAAATTGTTTTAGGTTTAAGAATTATTTCATATATCCTAACAATGGACTCATGAGGGGTTTTTTATAATTAAAACAAACATTTAGTTTATTCTTCACTCAGTTTTAATTAAAATTCCTTAACTGCTACTTTTTCCTTTGTTCCTATAATTTCACCCAAATACACTTGCCCTTCTGAGCTATTTCCCAATAAATTTCGTTTAATTATATTCCTACATTTCTCATCTGCTACAGGATAGAACATTTAAAAATCTTCTCTATTTCTATTAAAATTAGTTATATTAATTAATTCTGATCAAGAATATTAAAAATTTTGATTTTAATCTTAAATAGAAAAAGCTTATCTTTTCCATGAACTGTGATTGATATTTATAAAATCAATATATAAAATGATCGTCAAACAGACAACGAGCTTGTGTAAACGTTAGTAAACTGTTCGCATAACTGTGATTGATAGATGATTTCTAATGTTGAACACAATATATTATAGTAGTTTAAATTCATGAAATATAATATCATTAATTTATTTTTTTGATCAATTTCCTTTTAAAACTAATCATTAGTCTTCTACTTAGCATATTTTTTCCATTTATAAAATCTAAGCTGAATCTAATGTGAACGAAATAAAATATTTATTTTTATAGTTGTTCTTATACTCTAAATATTTAATTTTCTATTAAGGAGCGATTAACAAATTTTCAGATAATGTTCTCTTTTTTATATGCATTAATAATAAAGTTTAAATTATTTATTTTTTGAATGATGGCAGAGTTTAACCAAGATAAATTTAAGCATCAATAAATTAATGAGCAGTAAATCAAATTGTAGTAACTTTGTTCAGCAATTGCAATATCTAGTGAGAATTCATCTGTTTTAGCATGATATAAGTATTTTGATTCAAAAAAGGGATTCTCAATAAGTTACTATGATTTATGAAGACAAAGGCATAATTGCCTTTATAGGATTCTATAAGATTTATTCGGTATTCTCTGATATGAGTGTATCCATGGTTAATGAATCAAATTTATTTATAGAAATTTTTATGGAAAATCTAAGCTCATGAATAATTTATTCTGAGCTTAATTAAATAGTGAGAAAATCGTATAATATCTTCTAGTTAAGATAAGAAAATTGAATTTCGGACATAGAAAAATGGATGCTTATGTATTTAGCAATAAATGGTTATAAAGATATAGTTTTTGGTTAAATTTAAATGAAAAAGGGGATAAGCTAATTACTTGAAGTAAGGATAAGAAAATCTTTTTAATGGTATAATACTAAACTGCTGAAAATATAAAATAATGGATTATAATTTAAAAAATTGATGTTGATAATTAGGATATAGATTATGTTTAATTAGAAATAATTTATTCACATGCTAATAAAGAGGTAAAAGTTTTATGCATATTTATGAATAAAGTATTAAAACTAAGTTTTAATAAACTAAAAATTCAAGTGTTAAAAGAGGAACATAATGTGAGTGTTTGCTTACATAATAATATATAACACCAAGAACTTTAACATGATGAATTGCGAACAAATTAGAAAGAAGAATTGATAGCTAAATGAGTATCTATACATGTTAAACAATGTGTTGATGTTCCTGAACATGTATCACATGGTTAAGTACAATAGTTATAGTTGAAAGGGCACTTCCATATAAACCATCATCACATACACATTAATTATTGAATAGTTTTCTATTTAATCCTGAAACACATGATGTACAAAATGTAACTGATAAAGTACAAGTTTAACATGGACTAGTTCAATTTACACAAGTTTTAGTAGTACCAATTAACTCGAAATAGTCATTTTAGCATTCACATGTATTAATAGTATTATTCAATTATAAATTGAAGGGAATGTTAAACAATAATTGATATTTATTTAACATGTATCACATGGAAACTAACATTAATTACAGAAGTAATTTGAGGTAGGTTCAGAGCTAATTATATCTAATAGCAAGAAATAACAGATCGATTTCTTTATCATTATGTTTTCTCTCTTTTTAAAGTTTAGGATAAATTTTAATTATATTATTTATCTTAATTTCTATGCTGTATCTTTATAATATTTTATGCTACAAATTAATTAAATTAGTGTGTGTTTTAATACATGATGCAATCAAAGAAGATGTCTTTAAGAAAGGAGGTACTTCAATGAAATAAAGGGTTTGATTGTAGGTTAAGTTAGACGGTTTGTTAAGCTGAGTTGAAGAAAAGTGGATCCTAAATGAAGGATTTTTAAGGGTCAATTTTAGGGAGTATATATTGTTGTTAAAATATTTTTGTAAAGAAACTAACTTCAATTAATTTAGGCAAAATGAAAGGAAGCCAAAGATCTTTGATTTAAGCAAAATAAATGGCAATAATCTATAAAAATTTATTTTTCCTATTTTTAAACTTATTTTTTTAATATAAATATTTCCAGATTAAATGCATACTATATATTTTTTAATGTATTGCGGTAATTGGCCATAAACAATCGAAAAAAGATAGTAAGGATTTCCATAAATATTCCTGGTTGACTTACAGGAAAAAAATTTGTGAAAATAAAATCCCAAAAAGTTAGATTGGGTCGATAAAACACAATTGAAAAAAAATTTAGCTAAAATTAATCATCTTATTCTAAAGTAATTTATCATACTCCATTCCAATAATATAAGAAATCAAATTCTTATGTCAGAGCATCCATTGTTCCTTTTTTTTTTCCCTTAAATTGTATTTTCATAATCGCCTTAAGCCAAGGTTATTTTGTATATTTAATATACTCCTATGTTAAAATAAAATAATACAAGATTGTATTTATGAAACCCTAATACTAGGTGTAAAAATTTATAACATTAAATTTATTTATATTGATGCTAAGCTTTAGTGGGATATATTAAAAATCGCTGATAAACTCTAGAATGATTTCTATTAATTGCTGATTGATGTAAAATAATAAAATTATTAATAAAATTTAATATTGTATACTTGCTAGCTAAAATCAAAAGGTAGATCGATTAAATTTCTCATTAATTTCCAATTTTATTTCTAAAAGAATTGAAAATTTAGTCTTTTGTTAATTATTCTAAATGAACCCATGCAATAATTTTAGATCAAACTAGTCATTTTAAAAAAAATCATAATACATCTGTTTTTCAAAACCTGAAATTAGAAGCCTAATTTTGCTTGTTATAATACCAAAAGTCAAAGCTATACCATAAATATATTATTTATTTCCTTGTTTCATTTCTCATTATCCAGAAATTTTAAGAAAATAATCTTATGCTTAATTTCTGTGTCTTATAAGCTAAGGTTCATAAAATAATAAATAAAATTATTGTGGCGCTGCCTTTTAAAAATAATAATTCAGATATATTAACTAATAAGAAAACTATAATAAAATTACGTTTGATTATGACAATAATGGAAATTTTAGTTTATACTTAGTGATTATTATGTAGTTTAAGTAATTTTTATATTGAACTAAAACTAAATCTGGTTATTTATCCTAGATTTCTATTCAAAAATTAAAGGAGAAATTTAGAATATCCTATTATTTATTTTAATTTAAGATGGCAGATTAGAATAAAAAAATAATCAATATGATGTATGAAGAATTAAATAAGGAATAAAATTTTATAGTTATAACATTCATATAAAATTCAAAAGGATTTGTAATTATGAATTCATATATTAATGAAGTTAAAAAGATTTGATTATATTTTATATATTTTATTTAAAGGCTAAGACCTCTGAAGTCGACCATCAAATATTAAAATTATATATATGCAAGCTTGCACTGAAATAATATCATAATGTATTAACCATAAATGCATAAAAAAAGAATATTATAACAAAGGTGTTTTCCAAAAAAAGAAATTTTGTTGTTGTGCTTTAATATCAAGAAAAGGCTTTTAGAAAGATACTTTAAATTTTCTCAGCAGATTGTGTAAAAGCTTTAAGTGTAAAATTTTAGAAACTCTTAAATTAATTATATAAGTATTCTCTATTTTAGTATTAATAGCTCAATTTTTAAATTACATTGATTATCCTGATAATTTTGAAGCATACTAAAACACTACAGATTAAGACCTTTTTCTATTTTGTTCATTTACACAGAGGCCAATATTAAATTTAAAGTATTCTAGAAAAAAAGAAACTCAATATTGGCCGCTTTTGTTGAATCTAAATAAAAAAAAGACTTAATTTTTAATGTTCTATGCCAAGTGCTTGATCTTTTTTAAAATTATGATTATATTTACTTTATTTATATACGGCATTTTAAAAAATTTTAATATATAGCAATATTTATCTAAGTCATATTACATTCAGAATAATCAAAAATCAAGTTTCAGAATTAAGAATCTATATTAATGATAATTATTATTTTAGTATTTTTTGCTTATTATATAATTGGAAATTAATTGTGATATTCACTTATTCATTATAATATCATTTATAGAATTTTTTGAATTTTTTTTCTTATTTAATCAAAAACCTTAAAATGGAAATACCATTTTTGAAATTCTTTCTGGAAAGTTCTAAAGTTTTATAATATGATAATTAAAGTTGGATGAATTTCAGACATCAGTTATAACTATAAATCTATTAAAATTAAAGTGATAAGGATGTATTTTATGGATAACAAAATAAATAAAATGTCATAAATGATATCAGATTAGTCTTATTCATTAACTTAATATATAAAACTTATTATTTTCTTTTGAAATAATCTATATTAAGAAGATGTCTTAATTATTTATGATAATATCTTGATAAATTTAATAATCATTTTCATTATTGTTAAGCCAAGTTTGTACAACCTATAACTGTCTTTGGCTATTCTTTTTGATTTTTTATAAATTTTATTGAGGATTATTTTTATAATTTGCTTAATTTATTTATTTTTCCGAGATTTGCTCCTTTCAATATATTATTTTTCTTTTTCCTATTTCATTTACAATTATTAAATCTCTTATTATGGAAAGTTAGCTTCTAATTTTTAAAGAGTAAATTCTAGTAATTTCTATAAATATTTTATAAATCAATACATCGCTTTAACGAAAAAATCATCATTTTTTGGGACTTTATAATCATTTTGTATTGATATTTAACTGATTTTTTGATCAACAAGTTGCATTGACTAAAAAACTTTAGATACAGTATTTTCATCAAAATTAGTACTGATACCGAGTGGGAGTGGAGTATGTGTCTGTTTAAATTTCTGATAAACTATTTTCATGATACATTTTGAATTCCTTAATTTTCAATTTCTCCTATTAGATAAATTTTTTTTAGTCTTGTAGATTTATGATATATCATCATGAATTGTAAACAATCACTTTATTCCAACATAAAATAACCATTTGGCTATTTGGATCATTTTCAAAATATTCCTAAACTGTTTTAAAAGAGTAGATAAGGTTTAATAAAATTTAATAATCTTCAAAAATAATAATATTTATTAAAGCTTAATCTAAGAGTTATGCTTGTTTAAAATATTATATCTAAACCTTCTACGAATATCAATTTGAGACCCTAGAGAATTAAAAAATGATTAATACATTGAATATTTTAATAATTCTCTCTTTTAAACTTAAATGAAAATAATTTAATTAATAGAATATAATATTTAATTCTATTGATATATATATATATATAAATATATGTATGTAACTAATAATAAATAATTATAAAACATTTAAAATAGGATAATAAGTATAATAAATAAGTAATTATTCATTACAGTGAATAATAGTATAGTAACAGTTCCAGAACTTTATATAACTCATAAGATATAACAATAGAGATAACGGATACAGAACTACACAATAAACTTTTTATGAATATGAAAAGAGTTGGATTGTTTGTAAATTCAAATATATTTGATTATTTCATTATCAATTAACTTTTTCTTTATATTTTAAAATAAAGATTTATATTGACTATCTTTTCTATAAAAGGCAATAGGTTGTCCAATAGGAGCATCAATTTAATGGTCACCTTATTAAAAGATTTCTTCAGTCCAAAAGTGTATCCATTGATCATCTGGAAGATAGAAATTCCATTATTGAACATTTTCTTGATAGACAGGTGCAACAAGAATATCTCTTCCTAGAAGATATTAATATTTAATAGAATAAGTTCTTTCATCATTTTCATAATGTAAAAAAAGAGGTCTTTATGCTGGGATACCTTTATCTGCATTTTCTTGAATAACAGATTTTAAATAAGGTGCTAATTCTACATAAATGTTGGTCATTTTAGCAAAATGTTCAAGTGTTTCATCATCACTATCAAATTACCAATTATCAGTAGGTCTATTTCCTTCATGAGTTCTCATTATAGGAGTAAAAGCAGCCATTTCAGCCCATCTCATAAATAATTCTTTAGTTCTTTTCATTTCAAATAATGTAGTATATCCACCAATATCACTATGATGTATTCCATGTCCACACATTCCAAGTGAAAGTGCTGCAGGAATAACAGAAGCTAAACCATCATCAAGACTCCAATCAACATTTTGATCTCCAGCCCACATTGCTGTTGAATAATTTTAACTTCCAGTATATCCAGCTCTCATAAAATAAACTACATCATTTAATTTCCCAGTTTCTAATACAGCTTCATAATTTATTCTAGCCCATAATTCAGGCCATTTATTATGCATCATATCTCCACTTTCTCCATTTTAAAGCTTTATATCAAGTGGTAAATATTCACCAAAATCAGCCATCCAACCAGATAATCCAAATTCTATTAAATTTTTCTTAATTAATTCTTTATACCATTTATAAGCATCAGGATTTGTAAAATCAACAATTCCTGCATCAAACTCTCCAAAATCAACAAGATAATCCTCTCCTTTCATATTTTTAGCTAAATATCCTTTCTCACTTGCTTCTTTACATAAATTTTTCTCAGCTGCAAGATAAGGATTTATATAACCCATAAATCGAATGCCCTATTCTTTTAATATATTAATCTTTTAATCCAAACCAGGATAGAGTTCAGGATCCCATTACCAATTCCACATCAAACGCTTTCCAAATGAAGTATATCTTATCCCTTCCCAATCTTAACACCATAATGCACTTACTTTTATACCTTTTTCTAAAGCTTTATTCAATTTAGCTTCAATTATACTTGTACCTCCTTGTAATCCAAGCCAAACTCCATTATATATCCATTCTGGTAATTTTGGTTATCTCCCAAGTAGAATAGTAAGCTTTTCTAATAATTCAATGAAAGTTGACGCAGAATTAATTATGATTTATTTTGGAATTGACCAAATTAAAAGTTCATGAAATTCTTTATTTTTGAAATTAAAATCCATATATGAACTGTCATCTATATGAAGATAATATTTTTTTGAAGAAGTATATGTAGGTTAAGGGAAAAATGTAGAATAGTAATCTCCTCCTGCTTAATCAAGTAAATCAGCAAGAAAAGTTGTATAAGTACTCTTATTACGTCCAACACCTTATTCAGATGTCCAAAGAGGAAAGTTTTTACCTCTTAGATCAAAATAAGAAAATTATTCACCACATCCATAAATATGTTCTTATGCATCTGCTTGAATTCTAAGCCAAAGTCGATTTATTTCTGGATCATATTCAAGAAACTTTATTGTGATCTAGGAAGAGTTTTCAGGCGAATAAAATTACACTTTTACTTTCAAAAGATTGTTTCGAGAGAAAGTTGCAGTTAAAGTATCACTCTTTTCCTCTAATTCAAAGTCTTTGAGAGCCATTTTCTCATTAAGGTTTTCATTTATCTTAAAATTACCACGATACATTGTGTAATTTGCTTTTCCATTACCTGCAAAAATCCAAGGTTAATTTGATGTATGGGAAATTAATAAAACTCCATTTTTTGTGAAGATTTTAAAGCCATCTTTATTTTGAATTGTTTTCCAATTTTATTGCTGATTTTCTTCTTTAAAGAACTTCCAATCTAAATTTTATTAAATTCATACCCATCGTCATGTTTTTCACTATTGAAGAGTATGAACTTTAAAACAATAACATCAATATTGTTACCATCAATATCCATTTATCTAATTTAAAACATATTTTATGTACTCTAAGTTTATCTGATATGATAATTCAATGAATCTTATTCCATTAAATCTATTATTATTTCTAATTAAGAAATGAATGAATTTATAAAAGATAATTAAGAATCATGTATATTCAAAATAAATATTACATAATCTCTTTCTTTAGAAATATGGAATATTGAATTGATTATTCAATTTTTTATTGTTTTTTATTTGTCATTATTATATTACTATTTAATAAATATAATTGATATTGAAATAATACATACTCTTTAAGAAAACCTAAAAAGAAGTATGTTGAGAAAAGAATAGTTTAGGTTAATCGAAGGACGTTTAGAGATTTAAAATTCATAATTTTAAAATAGAAGTTTAAATTATAATAAATTTCTTTCCGTGTATACAATAGTTCTTCTCTCAAATATCAACATGGTTATGAGTATGATTATAAAGAAGTCAAATAAGAATGAATCTTATTATAAGATACTTGATTTATGACAATATAATGCCTTAAATCGCGTAATGGATATCTTTTAAAGTTATGATGCAACTAAATTTAAATCATTAAATTTATTTAAACATATCTAAAAATTAAGATAATATAAACAAAAATAAGACTTGTAGAAATGTTAAAGACCATTTCATCGATCTTTTTATTTTAGCAATTTTATTAAGAAACTAAATATGATTGGATATGATTGAAATTAAATTATTTCAATATTTAGACAAATTTAAAAATGAGTTAGATAACATATTCACACTAGAAGTTTAGTATTGTTCTTATTCCTCAATTTTGGCCCAAACTTTTTCAGAAAAAGTAATAACTTAAAAACAAATTATTAATTCGAGTAGTCAAAAATATATTATGCTTTAGTAGGTTTATTACAATCATTATTATATCTAATAATAATCAATAAAATAATAATCTTTTAGTATTGCTTTCCTTCAAATTTATGGGATAAAAATATTTTTATTGATATTGGCTTATTTTAGGTTCTCAATAATAGTTTCTCTTGCTTTTGAGCCTAATAATAAAAGAAAATTTAGTTTATTATTTGTTTTAAGCATTATACTTAAATTATTAACATTAAATAAATATGAATATTAGAAGCAGTTATTATTAAAAATTGATTTAATGGTTATACAAAGTATCTTGAATTATAAATATTTTACTTAATATTAATTATGATCTTATTTATATGTTTTTACTTTAAACAATGTCTGATAATCAGCTCTCTAATCAAATATATGAGAAAAATAATAGCTGAGAAGTATTTTATTAAAATATTGTCAATGTAGTGCTTTCTTCTTCATATAAATAAAGAATTTCTTAAATCTAAAATGTTATTTTATTTAAAAATTTTTGACAAATATTTTCAATAATTGCATTTCAATTAATAATCATTTACTGCAATAACTTTAAAGATTTATCTCTTTCTAAAACAGTCTTTAAAATTTGAATTTAAAACTAATATTTTATTCCTTATTAAATGTATTTGAGAAGTATGCTATATAAAAAATTTAAAATTCATTAATATTAATAATGTTATATAATAATTCAATTATATATTATTTCATAAGATGAGTATTTTTCTTAATTTTAATCCCAAAATACTAAATACTGGCCATCATTTGTCATATTTCCATAAATCTCATTATTACATAAATTTAATGATGCCGCAATTTAGAATTTACTATTATCTATTCCATTTATTAAATAAAGATGATGCTTATGTCTTAATAATATAAGATTGTTATCTTTATTATGAACAATAGGAAAATATATGCAATCTAAACACTAAGAATTTTAAATTAATTTGATAATATTGCCTTCATTTTCAGAAAAAACTCCATTAATTTATTCAAGAATTTAAATTTCATCAACTGATCTTCCCCTTGTTTTCCATAGGATTTATTCATCATTTATAAATTTTAAATAGCTTCCACTAGAAAATGTTTGTGTATATTTGTATTGCCATTTTCCATCTTATCCTTTATCCCAAATTATCAATTCTTCACAACCACATGTTGCCAATAAAGTTTCTGAATGATTCAAAGATAAAGAAAAAACACTAACATTATGTTAATCTAAACTATATTAAAAAGTAATTTTATTGTTAACAAAATCTACATTCCATACCTTAATTGAACTTAAGAAATCACCTGAAATTAGTTGATCTTCTTTATTATTCAATATTAAACATAAGACTGAATCCTTATGTTCATTATATGATTCTGAAGATTGCCAATTGTTTCCATTAATCTATTTCCAACAAATTATTGAATTATCTTAAGAACTTGAAATGAAGTTATTTGTATATTTACTATACACCAAACATGTAACATCATCACTATGTATTTTATATGTATTGCTTAATTATAATTTTCCATCAATGAGATTCCAAACATTTATAACTTCTTTTTCATTTGAAATCATAACTTATCCAGTATTATTAAAAACAATTGAAAAACAAGCCCCTTTTTATTTGATCTACTAATCAACTAACTTTAATGTAATTTGTTATTATTTTTACTTTTTTTATTAATTGTCTACAACTGGATTTGATTGTAAGTTGTTTTCCCCATTCATATCCTAAAATAATTGAATAATTTACCTAACTATTCAATTTTTCAATATATCCAAAGTTTAATAATAATTATTCACATGTATGACTTTCTTCAAAGTTTTTAAACATGCTAATTTTACCAAACATCTTTTGACCCCATGCATTATTAATTAAATTTATTTAATTCATAATTAATAACTCAGATTCATCATCATTTATATTAATTATTAATTTATCTAATTCTTAGAAGAAGCTATAAGTAAGATTTGATTATCCAAGTAAAATCAACTGTTTTTTCCATTCTTCTACATTTCCTATTAATTAATCTAATTATTAAACTAAATTAGATCTCAATAGATCAATTTATTTTTGTAGTAAGTCTACTTTATTTATATAAATCTTCAACTTATCTTCTATAGATTCGTACTTTTTATTTTATTTTTCTTAAATTTTTTGAATAACTTTTTTAAAGCTTCTTACATTGATATTAGATTCAATATCATCCATACATTCACTACATAACAGTCTTTTTTGAGAATCTATATTCTTTTCCCATAAAATCATCTATATTGGAAGTTAATGCTGAGATTAACAAACAAAATCTTTCTCATTTTCTATCATTTTTTATTTCATTAATTTTTAATTATTAATATCAATATATTCAAAATATGATAGTATGAAGTATTAGTAAATATCTTATTCTAAATCTACTAAAATAACAAGAAAAGATTCATGATTATTAATTAAGATTTATCAAAAATATTTATGCATGGGCGACTTATTTTATTATTTTTTTTTACATATAATTTATTCTTTATTCTTTTAATATAAATACACTTGAAATTCTTGTATGAATAAATTATTAGAATATCATGCCTACTTGTTTTCATTTAGAATTAGGTAAATTTATTGATATCATAGTAAATTTCCAAATTAAATAGCACTAAATTTTGAATGATCATTTCTAATTATTTCTATTTCTATCTATTTCCAACTATTACCAATAGAATCAAGTATAGATTTATTGAATTTCTATTATAATCAAATATCATTGTCCAAAATTTCTGATCTAATTTTAAATATTTGAAAATGGTTTAACTAGTTTTAATACTTGAAAAATGTAAGTTAATAATATTTTATTTTCTTAATAGAATAATAAATAATAAATTAAAACTGGATTTAAATTTCATTTTGATAAAGTAAATATAATAAAAATTGCGGGGAAATTTTTTGATCTATTTGTTGTGCAAAAGTTAATATCAATTTCAATCATCAAATCGTCTTATCTTAAGTTTTGTTTGTAATAAAAAATTTTAATATTCAAAGTTTCTTCCAATAAGAGTCTTTAACTTATGGTGTTAAATGAAAAAAATAATATGATTAATTTAAAAGAAGTTGTCTATTCAGATTTGTGAGGGAATTAAAACAATATAAAGATTTAAAAAGTAAATTATGGTAATATTTTTATTAGATTTAAATCATCATGAATAATATTATTTAAAATTCACTTAGATTTTTAAATCTACTAAGAAGAAGAAATTTAATTTTTAGAAGCAATGCATTAGTTGATATTAATGGTTCAAAATAAATTAAGAAATTTAATGAGGTGCTTTTTTTGAAAGTGAACCATTTTTCATAAATTTTATTTAAAATGAAAAATATAAATTAAAATACATGCTTTTATCGAATTTTAAATAAATGAATAGTTTTATTAGCTGGAATAGATAAATATAAACTCATTATTAGGAATAAAGCAATTTTTTTATTTTGAATATATAATTAGAGATTTTTCGAAAAATTGCATATTATGATTAATGTTAATAATCAATTTAAAAATAGAAGCTATGTTATTTTAAGCACTCTCGTTACCAATTTATACTTATAAATTATGCAACGAAAATATACCACATATTTTCTCCAATACAATTCTAACTCAAAATATTAATTGCTCTGTCTTGAAGATAAGAGGGTACCTTAATATTATCATTTGATGATTAGTCAAGAGTATATTTATAACAAAAGGTGAAGATAATATGATTGGTTATTATGATTATAATGATGATAATTCCATTGTGGGTCAAATAATAATATAAAAAGTCTGAAAATATTACAGTTGTGAATTTCTTATAGATATTTCATCAAATTCAATCAGCATATTATTTAAATTGTGCATGAATTCTGAACTATTTATAATATATTTTCTTTGCTATTGAATAAACGGATTGAATGTTATTTTATATCTGATTAAATTATGGATCTTTGAAATTATATTTGCTATTTATTAGCGTCTTGATTAAGATTTTTGGATTTCTGATTTTAAGTTAATCTATCCATTAATTGTGCAATTGTCCAAAATCCTCTTTTAATTTTCGAAATATTCCATGTTTACTAAGAAAAAGAATAAATGTGTCTGTGGAAACTCGATTTTGAAAAAAAAAGTCAGACCTTTATATTAAAGTCTTTAAAATAATAAATTGTACTTCAATATACTTAGATTAGCTAAGCAATTAGGATACTTTTAATTTATTCATAAATACCATTTACTCATACGTAATCTGCTATAATATTTATCTATAATTTTCTTTCGGCCAAAATCTAATTTGATAATTTTGTCGATTCCATATTTTAAATAATAATAACACGATCTAAGGTTTCTTTTTAATTCTCATAAAGCTCCTTTGTTGATGAATTTACTTTTGGGTTAAACAAATTCAAATAAGTCACTTTCGATTAAGTTAGCTCTTTCTAATAAATGATCCATAAATATTTGTTTAGCCCAACCTCATATAAAGAAAACAACAATCTTCCATTTTTTATAAAAACTTTCAATTGATTTTCCTAGTATCGTCTTAATTCAAGTTTTTCAACCTGTTTATTTCAACTATCAAATTCTATAACATAATTCTAACAACAATGCTAATTAATACTGATATTAATATATTAATTTTTTTGATAGTATTTTTAAATTAACAGAAAGAAAATTTATTTTATTTTAATATGAATTTTTTAATTGGCAATCCTTCAAATGGTTAACAGTCAAACTAGAATTAACAACGACCTATTGAGTATGAGGTTGATATACTAAATAAAAGAAAACAAAGATTAGTGAAAACGAAAATTCAAGTAAAATTTTCAAGTTATCACTAAATCATATATTCAAAAGATGAAGCAATTCTAAAAATGTAAATATGATTGATTAATGAAATAAAGAGAACAATTTTATGATATCTTCAACATACCAAAAATAATGAATAATATGGAACAGTTAAGATATCTTACCTTCTAAGGTCGATAGGTTTGGAATTATAAGAAAATTGGTAAATGGTTTGCAATTTGGGATAAAAAGTCTTTAGTTTATGTTGGTGGATATTACATGGAAGGATAAAAGTAAGGTTTATGGAAAGAACTCATAAAAAATTATTGGAGGTAAATGCTATAGATTTATAACCATAAATAGTAAAGCTGAAGTTTTAAAAATCGGAGAATATAAGAATGATAATAGAATAGGCAAATGGAGTTATATTTACAAAAATATGGAGATGTAATCATTTAAAGCTGAATTAGTGATGGTGGGTATTACAATCTTAAAAGTAAGAAGACAGGCAAATGGATCGAGTTAGATGAAAGATTTTATGATTTGAAATAAGTCACTTTTAATGGTGAATATAATTAAAATGGTAAGAAGAGTGGTAGATGGAATATTAATTATTGCGCGCCATATGGAGATGAAAAATATAAAGAAATGTAATATAAGCAATAATATTAGTGGTGGAGGATTATATGATAAAGAGGATGATCAAAAAAAGATTGGAAGGTGGATAGAGTTGGATGAACAGTTTGAGTTTGAAAAATAAGTTACATATAGCGGTGAATATAATAAAAAGGGTATTAAGGTTGGTAGATGGGATACATGGTTTAAAATTGTATAAAATAAATAAATGTAAATCTTAGTATATAAAATTATATTAGTGGTGGTGGATCATATGATAAAGAAGGGGGTTTGGTAAAGATTGGAAGATGGATAGAGTTGGATGAAGGATTTGATAGATAGAAACAAGTCACATATAGTGGTGAATATGATATATAGGGTAGAAAGGTAGGAAGATGGGATACTGCATTTGATAGAAAATAAATGTAAATATTATTATAATTAATTTCTGTTTAGTGGGGGTGGATCATATAATAAAGAGGAAATTAAGATTGGAATTTGGATCGAGTTGGATGAAGAGTGTTATGATGATAGATAAATAACTTATAATGGAGAATATAGTATGAATGGTAAGAAGATAGGTAGATGGGATATTGTATACAATAGAAAATAAATGTAAATATAATTTAAGTATAGTAAATTTTTTCTTAGTGGAGGAGGATCATATGATTAAGAGGGAATTAAGATTGGAATGTGGATCGAGTTGGATGAAGGATTTTATAATGATAAATAGGTCACTTATATTGGGGAATACGATATGTAAGGTAAAAAGTAAGGTAAATGGGGTATCTTTTTTAGGTGGGAGTATGAGAAGGATTATAACAAAATGTAAATATTTTATGAGTATAGCGGTAAAATTTTAGTGGTGGGGGATCATATAGTTAAAAGGGAGATTAGTAAAAGATTGGAAGATGGATAGAGTTGGTTGATGGATTTAGGTTTGGTAAATAAGTGACTTATAGTGGGGAATATAATACTTAGGGCATAAAGGAAGGTAGATGGAATTTATCTTATAAGGTAGAATTGGAGAAAGATTATAAATAAATGTAAATAATTTATACTTATATTAATTATGTTTTAGTGGTGGTGGATCATATAGTAATAAAGGTAAAAAGACCGGATAATGGATAGAATTAGATGACGAATTCGAATAGAGAGCTTAAATCACTTATAGAGGGAAATATAATATTAATAGTATAAAAATAGGAATGTGGGAAACTTGGTTGAATTATTTTGATGATGGATGGAAAAACATATAAATGTAACTATTATATGAGTATAGTAATAACATATTAGTGGTGGTGGATCATATGATGATAGTAATGAATGTTTAAAAACTGGAAGATGGATAGATTTAGGTGAAGGGTTTGATTAGATGGCTTAAGTTACTTACAATGGTGAATATAATACGAAAGGTATGAAAGTAGGCAAATGGAGTATATGGTGGAATTAAAATGGAGAAGATAAAGAAATGTAATGCATTAAATTATTTAAGTGGTGGTGGATCATATGATGAAAGTGGTTAAGGTATTAAGATTGGAAGGTGGGTAGAGTCGGGGTAAGGATTTTGGAAATCTAAATAAGTTACTTATTGCGGTGAATACAATATTTAAGGTATTAAGACAGGTAGATGGGATATATAGTTTAATGATACAAATAATAAATAAATGTAAATTTAATATAGGAATAGTAATAAATGTATTAGAGGGGGCGGATAATATGATTATAGTGGTAAAGGCATTAAGACTGGAAGATGGGTAGAGGTGGATTGGAGCTTTGGATGGACTAACTAAATAATTTTTAGTGGTGAATACAATATGAAAGGTCTCAAAATTGGTTTATGGTTGGAGGTGGATATTTATAAGAATAAAATACTAAATGAAAAGAAATATTATAATTGAATAACATTTAAAAATAAAAGATATAAATTAAATGTTTTTATGTTTGATTTTATTTTAGTTTTTGATTAATTATTTATATTTAAATTTAAATAAGCCATAATAAATAATGTTTATAGATATTTATATTAATAAACCGAACTTACTTTTAAAGTTATCTAGACTATTTATATAAATTAATATGTTAAGTTTATTATTTTTTAAACATCTTTTATCTTATTATTCCGATTTAGTTTTTAAGTGATTTTAGTTAAAAATAAAACCATGAGATTGTGATAACTAAATTTTTTATATTTGAAATGTAAATTAATGATTTTTCTCACAAATTAAAAAATTTAGACCAAAGTTTGAAATGTAATTAATTACTTTAAAAGGCTTTTTGCATACTGAAAATTTAAAACTAGTATTTATCTAATTTTCGCTTTTTTTAAATATTTTACTCCAATTCGATAACAATTGCAAATAAACCTGATAAGAATATTTTATTAATATATTTATTGCAAAATTTTCTGATTCAAATCATCCTTCGAATGCTGCTTTTTAGTTGGTCAAATGTGATTGATTTTGGTTAATAATAAATCAATATTATCTTTGCCTAATAAATTAATAAAGCCAACTAATAAAAAGGTATAATATGAAATTCACATAATTATAATAAAAAATTATGGAATTTGTTTTAATCAAACATAGAATGATATTGAAAACAAAAAATATTATGAAAAAAAAATTTATATTTAAAAAATTTGAAGATCCAATAAAATTCATTTTCTCATTTAAAATATCGTTTTATTATTGCTAAGAATCTTTGTTAAAATACCTTGTTCAGACGCAGGACTAATATTGGTTATATTTCTAAAATTCTTGATTGATTTTTATCTATTTAAACTGATACCTTTTTAGTAATCAGAAATTATAAGATAATGTGGATCAAAAAATTTATGAGTGAATTAGAATAAATGAAGTTTTAAAGAGTAATAAACATAAATAGTAGATTTAGAAGATGATGTTTAATTCAAAAGAAAAGGATCAGTTTGATATTCCTGGTTAATAAATTAATAAATAGAAATTATCCTATTTTTTAAACTCAATAAAAGATTCGTAATAATAATTATAGAATACTGAATAATTTAATTAAATAAATTATTCGATTATAAATTTAGAAATATAAATAAGTTAAGATTAAAAAAATAAACTAACAAAAGAATATTTAAATAAATTTTATNTTTTATTTATATTTAAATTTAAATAAGCCATAATAAATAATGTTTATAGATATTTATATTAATAAACCGAACTTACTTTTAAAGTTATCTAGACTATTTATATAAATTAATATGTTAAGTTTATTATTTTTTAAACATCTTTTATCTTATTATTCCGATTTAGTTTTTAAGTGATTTTAGTTAAAAATAAAACCATGAGATTGTGATAACTAAATTTTTTATATTTGAAATGTAAATTAATGATTTTTCTCACAAATTAAAAAATTTAGACCAAAGTTTGAAATGTAATTAATTACTTTAAAAGGCTTTTTGCATACTGAAAATTTAAAACTAGTATTTATCTAATTTTCGCTTTTTTTAAATATTTTACTCCAATTCGATAACAATTGCAAATAAACCTGATAAGAATATTTTATTAATATATTTATTGCAAAATTTTCTGATTCAAATCATCCTTCGAATGCTGCTTTTTAGTTGGTCAAATGTGATTGATTTTGGTTAATAATAAATCAATATTATCTTTGCCTAATAAATTAATAAAGCCAACTAATAAAAAGGTATAATATGAAATTCACATAATTATAATAAAAAATTATGGAATTTGTTTTAATCAAACATAGAATGATATTGAAAACAAAAAATATTATGAAAAAAAAATTTATATTTAAAAAATTTGAAGATCCAATAAAATTCATTTTCTCATTTAAAATATCGTTTTATTATTGCTAAGAATCTTTGTTAAAATACCTTGTTCAGACGCAGGACTAATATTGGTTATATTTCTAAAATTCTTGATTGATTTTTATCTATTTAAACTGATACCTTTTTAGTAATCAGAAATTATAAGATAATGTGGATCAAAAAATTTATGAGTGAATTAGAATAAATGAAGTTTTAAAGAGTAATAAACATAAATAGTAGATTTAGAAGATGATGTTTAATTCAAAAGAAAAGGATCAGTTTGATATTCCTGGTTAATAAATTAATAAATAGAAATTATCCTATTTTTTAAACTCAATAAAAGATTCGTAATAATAATTATAGAATACTGAATAATTTAATTAAATAAATTATTCGATTATAAATTTAGAAATATAAATAAGTTAAGATTAAAAAAATAAACTAACAAAAGAATATTTAAATAAATTTTATAATTTAGAAAATTCCTAGTTGGAAATAATTATGTGATAAACATAAATATGAGATATTAGGTAAATTAAATGAAAATAAATATGATGAATATTTAAATTAATCGACTGAGATCATATCAAAATTTATTTCTTATAGAATACTAAAAAATAATTAATCCAAATGAAATTAAGATAAAGTCCATCTTCATGTTGAATAAAAACTTTTATAAAATAAACCTAATGTTTATATCTTTATTTTGAAAAACTGTGAAAGTAATAAGAAATGATAATAAATTTTTCATAGATTTAATAAATTTACATTAAACGGCAGTAACATAAATTTGTAGAAATAACAATATTGGAATTAATGCAAATTTCAAAATTGCATTCAAAATTTTAGATTATTATTCCAAAAAAAAATTATGGCTCTTTCATTTCATTAAGTTGATATTAATTATAAAAATAAATAAATCTCTTAGATATTGATGATATAAAACAATAAAGATGTAATCACAAAATTTAAATAACTCTTTAATCTGAAGATCAAAATATGAATCCATTAAATTCATAATCAATTACTTAATTTTAATAAAATATCAGTATATGATGATTTATAATATAAGTTTGTTAATAAAATAATAAATTCGAAGAAAATTTGATTTAAAGATTATCAACTACTTATTTTGGAAATATTAAAAAATGAAAGATCTTTAGAATAAATAAATTAATAATTTCTTCTAGGTCGTCCTTCTAAGAAGTTATGTAATTTATTTAAATAAATATTATTGATTTTATAAGGATCGATGAATGGATATACCTATATTTACCCAATTAGAATTATATCTCACATCCTTTCTGAAATAACTAAACAAATTATTATAGTTGGAGCTAATAACTCAATTCCATAAATTGTATCATGGAATTTCCCCCACACGTCATTATCATTATTAGAAGCTAATTAACAGATGAAGGAAAAAGTAGATGGTTTAGGATACAAATGGCACACAAAAGATAAGAATGGAAAATTACTAGCAGTGGCAGTAATAAAAAATCTAATTAAAAAGATAGATCCACAAATTTTATTATAGCGCAAATTGTTTTTGGTGGAAGATTTTCTATATTAGTTGGTTCAATAATGAAAAATTATAATTTGATAAATGAAGAAAAGGATAGAAAATAAAAGATAAAAATAAGAATTGGATTTTAATGTAAAATAAAATAAAAATATTGATTATATCTTTTTATACTAATAAAATATTAAGATATTGAATATAGCCATATAATGGTGAAGATAAAGATGCTTGAATCAACAGCAATGCATTTTCCTATCTTTAATTCAAATTAGAAGGATAAATATGTGACAATGAAAAGCGAAGAATGGTAACTGATTGAACAACAATGGTAATTTACAGAGTATACAAAACAGTAGATAGAGATAAACTATTTAAAATCATAATGAAAAAATAGAAGAAAAAAGAATATATTTGAAAAACGGATTACATCAAGGTTCACTAATTACACCAATGCTCTTTAATCTATCCTATCAGAATTAATTTTCTGGGAATCAATAAGATTAAAGAATAAAAAACAAAGAAAATGAGTAAAATATTATAGAAGTCAAAAGCCTTAACTTATGCAGACGATATCGTAATAATGTAGATAGAAATTTTAGTAGATTGTTATTTTATTCTAAAGGTTACAAAAAGTAATAAAAGAATATTCGATAAAAATGAATATATATACATGTGCATGTATAGCCATGTTAAAATATAATGAAATGATTTCTTAAAGATTGGCGAGAATGATCATTAAATTGGAAATAATTAAGACAGAGGAATTAAACAAGAAAAGTTAACAATTAAAATTGAAAAAAGGAAAAATAGGAGAGGAGGAGAATAATGACTTAATAAATAAATAAATTAGATTAATAAGGGCCGTTATAAAAAAAACGTATAAATATCTAGGAATATAAAAATAATTGGCAGACAACAAAAAGGATTTAATGGAGAAATAATAGAAAACTTATATCAAAATAATATAAGAAGTAAATATGATGTAAGAGGATTCAGGACTAATCATGGATCCTTATTATTCAGAAGTAATGGCTTTGCTATAGTGATAGTAAAGGATGAAAAAGAGATCCACAGCGAATATGAATTAAAATATGAGATAAAAGTCATATAAAATTAGAGAGATGATAAGTGATTTAGGGCAATCTTCTAACAAAAAGAAAAGAGATAAATGGTCAGAAGGATATAATAATAAATATCATACTGATTTTGAGTTATTCATTACTCTATGTGAAGATATCTCACACAATGAATATCTTTATTCCTTTATTAATTATCTAAAATCATGAAATATTTAAAAAAATTATTATTTCTTTATAAAGAGTAAAAAGGAATTCTCTAAATAAAACTTATTTTTTTATTAAAAATTATTGGTAATTAATTTATAAATATATAATATATTTTATCATGTAAATGTTAACATTAAGATTTCACATTAATCTATCTAAGGTGTTGATTAACCAAAAAAATAATTACTTTTGGTTTTTTTATATTCATCCCACTCATATGTATTTCCAAATTTAGAATATCCATCATTAAAATTAGTCGATATGTACAATTCATGATTATAACCAAATTTTAGTCCTTAATCCTTTGGACCTTAGATTGCAGAAGTCGATAATGTATTATCATCAACACAAAAGTTTGAAGGAATTAATTACCATATACAAGGTGAAAATCCTCCAAAAATATATTCACTTTTCAATTTAAATACGATTAATATATTAGATTTTCATTTACAGATTTACTAAATGAATCATCATTTAATCAATTTTTTTCTTAACAATATATTAAATATTAATTTCTTATTTTCTTTTTACTTTTCTCCTCTATTGTTTTTAATATTTTTGAATAATAATCATCTTTTAATAATTTTAATTTCCATATTAAATGTCAATTTTATATCTTGATAAATTTAATAATCATTTTCATTATTGTTAAGCCAAGTTTGTACAACCTATAACTGTCTTTGGCTATTCTTTTTGATTTTTTATAAATTTTATTGAGGATTATTTTTATAATTTGCTTAATTTATTTATTTTTCCGAGATTTGCTCCTTTCAATATATTATTTTTCTTTTTCCTATTTCATTTACAATTATTAAATCTCTTATTATGGAAAGTTAGCTTCTAATTTTTAAAGAGTAAATTCTAGTAATTTCTATAAATATTTTATAAATCAATACATCGCTTTAACGAAAAAATCATCATTTTTTGGGACTTTATAATCATTTTGTATTGATATTTAACTGATTTTTTGATCAACAAGTTGCATTGACTAAAAAACTTTAGATACAGTATTTTCATCAAAATTAGTACTGATACCGAGTGGGAGTGGAGTATGTGTCTGTTTAAATTTCTGATAAACTATTTTCATGATACATTTTGAATTCCTTAATTTTCAATTTCTCCTATTAGATAAATTTTTTTTAGTCTTGTAGATTTATGATATATCATCATGAATTGTAAACAATCACTTTATTCCAACATAAAATAACCATTTGGCTATTTGGATCATTTTCAAAATATTCCTAAACTGTTTTAAAAGAGTAGATAAGGTTTAATAAAATTTAATAATCTTCAAAAATAATAATATTTATTAAAGCTTAATCTAAGAGTTATGCTTGTTTAAAATATTATATCTAAACCTTCTACGAATATCAATTTGAGACCCTAGAGAATTAAAAAATGATTAATACATTGAATATTTTAATAATTCTCTCTTTTAAACTTAAATGAAAATAATTTAATTAATAGAATATAATATTTAATTCTATTGATATATATATATATATAAATATATGTATGTAACTAATAATAAATAATTATAAAACATTTAAAATAGGATAATAAGTATAATAAATAAGTAATTATTCATTACAGTGAATAATAGTATAGTAACAGTTCCAGAACTTTATATAACTCATAAGATATAACAATAGAGATAACGGATACAGAACTACACAATAAACTTTTTATGAATATGAAAAGAGTTGGATTGTTTGTAAATTCAAATATATTTGATTATTTCATTATCAATTAACTTTTTCTTTATATTTTAAAATAAAGATTTATATTGACTATCTTTTCTATAAAAGGCAATAGGTTGTCCAATAGGAGCATCAATTTAATGGTCACCTTATTAAAAGATTTCTTCAGTCCAAAAGTGTATCCATTGATCATCTGGAAGATAGAAATTCCATTATTGAACATTTTCTTGATAGACAGGTGCAACAAGAATATCTCTTCCTAGAAGATATTAATATTTAATAGAATAAGTTCTTTCATCATTTTCATAATGTAAAAAAAGAGGTCTTTATGCTGGGATACCTTTATCTGCATTTTCTTGAATAACAGATTTTAAATAAGGTGCTAATTCTACATAAATGTTGGTCATTTTAGCAAAATGTTCAAGTGTTTCATCATCACTATCAAATTACCAATTATCAGTAGGTCTATTTCCTTCATGAGTTCTCATTATAGGAGTAAAAGCAGCCATTTCAGCCCATCTCATAAATAATTCTTTAGTTCTTTTCATTTCAAATAATGTAGTATATCCACCAATATCACTATGATGTATTCCATGTCCACACATTCCAAGTGAAAGTGCTGCAGGAATAACAGAAGCTAAACCATCATCAAGACTCCAATCAACATTTTGATCTCCAGCCCACATTGCTGTTGAATAATTTTAACTTCCAGTATATCCAGCTCTCATAAAATAAACTACATCATTTAATTTCCCAGTTTCTAATACAGCTTCATAATTTATTCTAGCCCATAATTCAGGCCATTTATTATGCATCATATCTCCACTTTCTCCATTTTAAAGCTTTATATCAAGTGGTAAATATTCACCAAAATCAGCCATCCAACCAGATAATCCAAATTCTATTAAATTTTTCTTAATTAATTCTTTATACCATTTATAAGCATCAGGATTTGTAAAATCAACAATTCCTGCATCAAACTCTCCAAAATCAACAAGATAATCCTCTCCTTTCATATTTTTAGCTAAATATCCTTTCTCACTTGCTTCTTTACATAAATTTTTCTCAGCTGCAAGATAAGGATTTATATAACCCATAAATCGAATGCCCTATTCTTTTAATATATTAATCTTTTAATCCAAACCAGGATAGAGTTCAGGATCCCATTACCAATTCCACATCAAACGCTTTCCAAATGAAGTATATCTTATCCCTTCCCAATCTTAACACCATAATGCACTTACTTTTATACCTTTTTCTAAAGCTTTATTCAATTTAGCTTCAATTATACTTGTACCTCCTTGTAATCCAAGCCAAACTCCATTATATATCCATTCTGGTAATTTTGGTTATCTCCCAAGTAGAATAGTAAGCTTTTCTAATAATTCAATGAAAGTTGACGCAGAATTAATTATGATTTATTTTGGAATTGACCAAATTAAAAGTTCATGAAATTCTTTATTTTTGAAATTAAAATCCATATATGAACTGTCATCTATATGAAGATAATATTTTTTTGAAGAAGTATATGTAGGTTAAGGGAAAAATGTAGAATAGTAATCTCCTCCTGCTTAATCAAGTAAATCAGCAAGAAAAGTTGTATAAGTACTCTTATTACGTCCAACACCTTATTCAGATGTCCAAAGAGGAAAGTTTTTACCTCTTAGATCAAAATAAGAAAATTATTCACCACATCCATAAATATGTTCTTATGCATCTGCTTGAATTCTAAGCCAAAGTCGATTTATTTCTGGATCATATTCAAGAAACTTTATTGTGATCTAGGAAGAGTTTTCAGGCGAATAAAATTACACTTTTACTTTCAAAAGATTGTTTCGAGAGAAAGTTGCAGTTAAAGTATCACTCTTTTCCTCTAATTCAAAGTCTTTGAGAGCCATTTTCTCATTAAGGTTTTCATTTATCTTAAAATTACCACGATACATTGTGTAATTTGCTTTTCCATTACCTGCAAAAATCCAAGGTTAATTTGATGTATGGGAAATTAATAAAACTCCATTTTTTGTGAAGATTTTAAAGCCATCTTTATTTTGAATTGTTTTCCAATTTTATTGCTGATTTTCTTCTTTAAAGAACTTCCAATCTAAATTTTATTAAATTCATACCCATCGTCATGTTTTTCACTATTGAAGAGTATGAACTTTAAAACAATAACATCAATATTGTTACCATCAATATCCATTTATCTAATTTAAAACATATTTTATGTACTCTAAGTTTATCTGATATGATAATTCAATGAATCTTATTCCATTAAATCTATTATTATTTCTAATTAAGAAATGAATGAATTTATAAAAGATAATTAAGAATCATGTAT